GGCATGTCCCACCGGGAGGAGGCCCCGGGGAAGACCCAGGACACGCTGGAGGGACTATGTCTCTCGGCTGGCCTGGGAACGCCGCGGCATTCCCCCGGAGGAGCTGGAGGAAGTGTCTGGAGAGAGGGAAGTCTGGGCATCTTTGCTTAGACTGCTGCCCCCACGACCCCGTCCCGGATAAGCGGAGGAAAATGGATGGATGGATGGACGGACAATAGTCTTATCACTTAACTGCTGTTAAACAATGCCAGTGCAATCAGGCTGTAAAAACAAGTCTGTTCCTCCTGTTTTAAAAGGCTAAGAGGTGTAAAGAGGAATAGAAACATCCTGTTTGAGGAGGTGGGAATGTGTGGCATTTCACTGTTTGTGTTGACCAGTTTACAGTGGCTACTGGAAACCACCTGTGCCCTTTTTGTAATGACAGCATCTGCTATGGGCTAGAGTGGCAATGTGATGTTTTGTGCAGGATTACATTACATACATTATCATAAATTACTTATGAATAAGCGGAAAATACATGTCAACCCTGGACTTCTCTGCTTAGACTTACGTGATTCCAGGCACTTCACAGGATTTAGGCCTTGATGCCAGAGACTGGACCTGAAACAAACCAAAAGCTGTCATTACGCTAGAAACTGAAAACAAAAACGAACATTTATTCACATTCCTTGCCTCAGTTAGGTAAAAATGACTCTGCATTTTAAGTGCTCAGGCTTCACAGGGCTGAGGCACTGGGGGTGGGAGTGACTGCACTGTCACTGCTGGGGAAACAAGGCTTATAGTGAATGGATCTGAGCTGCGATCATCATCCAGCAGCCATTTGACAATGTAACAGCATTTGGCTGCTTATCAAAATTCTGCTGGGTTACGTCCACATGCAGGTCACTTTTCAGCAGGTGCAGTCACTAGCTAACTGAGATACTGTAGTGAGTCGAGTCCTCTCTCAGAATCAGTTTCTCTGACAGCATTTTTCAGCCTGTGAAAACATAACTGGCTGTTGGTTGACAGATTTTCTGCCTGGTTTGATGACTGCCACTTTTTCAAACCCAGTTTCTAGAAAAATTAAAAAAAAAATGTTTAAAAAGTGCACACTCTCTCCCTAGAGTCGTACAAAACTCTCACACAGTGTTTTTCCATCCACTTAGGTTAGGTGCTGTGCTAATTCTTAAAATGGTAGGGAAAACCCAGAGACTGCTTTTGGGTAGTCCAGCATAAAAATATATTATTATAGCATTGTTGATGATGACTACAAATCAGACATCAGTGCTCTTTCTGCATCATCTATGCATCTCACTAGGTGGCACTCACTGGAATCATTTTTTGGAAGGTACAAACTGTACGAGCCTGAACCACTGTCTTGTGTTGGTGGGGTATTTCTCCTAATCCATATCTACTTATTTACTGTAAAAGATACTGACATGTTAAAAAAAAAAAAAAAAAAGAAGAGCACCAGGTGTAACAAGTGGTCATCTCATCTCTCTCTAGAGCGCCTTGTGATGCCTTGACAGTATGATGTATTGTTCTCACCTGGTTCGACCACACCTTTGACTCCCTGATGATTTGCATATTATGGCTGTTGACATTCCTGATCCTAGAAATTTGCCTCTGGTGCATCCTGCCTACTGTCACACAGGAAGGACCGGTTCAACATGTGGTCTGACATGTTATGGCTAACTCACTGCAGGAATTTAAGGCGTCATCATCACCTAACCTGACACAGTGACCATTCAATGGAAATAAATGTTGTGCAGTCCAATCACATTGTACCAGACATTAATTGGGAGTTTTCATTGTGAGCACGGCAACAATGCAGTGAATGTCAAGGCATACATGTGGAGTTGCTGTTTCAAGCATCACAGAATGCATCAACCAGGCTTTGATGTAAGAGGTAAAAACAAGCAGCAGTCCCACCTTCTTGGCCTCCCACAGCTGCTTGGGAAGTGGCTTACTGACGCTTATTAGGCTCTCATCATTGGGCAGGGCGGAGAAGGAGAAGACTGCAGATAAGAAGGCACGCTTTGTTTAAACACACTGCACAGAAAGACAAGTGTAAATGATCTCTTGAATAAAGAGGAAAAATTTGCACTCACCATCTCTGGAGCCATCCATCTCCGCTTCATTTACACTTTCTGCATGCCAGCCTCCATGAGAAACAAACAAACAAAGTGAGAGGGGGAGGGATGAGAGATGGAGAAATAACCACAGAAAAACAAAAGCAGAGGAACATTAGAGGATATTCGATCTTAAGCAGCTGTATGAAGTACCCTGGCATGTCTGGAACAATAATCAAGCCCCTCTGACAGGAACAGGCCCTTTGCAATTACTGTGCACTGTCATAAGCACAACAGCTGGGCATCTGGCATCATATTATTAGTCACAGAGATGGGGGGTGGGGGGGTGTCATAGACTGATGAGGACTAAAGAGAGGGCCATTGTTTTTCTCGTGCCACAAAGAGCCTCTTTCTCTTCATCTTAACTGTAGACCTGATGTCAGACACACGCCCGTTGTCTTTTAACAATTGGTTTTAAATATTCTGTGTCTAACTCTTGTATTAAGCAACAACACTTCCTGTTCTTATTAGGAAACTATTTTGTTTCTCTTGATGTCTTCTTCGAGACTCCTCATCACTCAGGCTTGAACTCTGCTTCTCTTACATTTGCCTTTGATTTAGTGCCCACCCATCCAGTCGTCGTCCTTCCAAACTCTCATTCTCTCAGAAGCCCATTCATTTTGAATGGCGACTTTCTGGCTGCTGAAACTGATGGCACAATGAGATAATCACTGGCATCATTACATTTCCCCCTCAAAGGTGTCTAGTTGCATTTGCATTTCCCCTCAAAGGTGTCTAGTTGCATTTGCTCACAGAGGCACAACTGGGACAGAAACAGGACAACTGGGATGGAAAATGGCTCAGGTCCCTGGCTGGATCACTTACACCATGCAATGCACTCAGTATGGGGGTTGTAAATATTCAGGATTAAGAAAAAAACTCATTGTTTACTACCAGACTGCACCAATAATCTCATCAGCTGCAGAGGTAACATTAGTTCTCCTCTGAAGGATGATGCTCATTTTCCGTTGACAACAACTGGCAGAAAAGAAAGGACACCAAACAGACTGCAGCCCAACGCCTCTGTTCTAAGTGGTTCCACCCCGGCAGCATGACTCAGCTGTAATTTCTAGTTCGAAGTTTCTTCAATCAGCCGGAACTTAATACCACTCAAAACCCTCTAGAGCCTTAAGGGGTGTGAACAAGGCTCTAGGATTCCAAAGCTCTCTGTGCACGGGTGATGGCAGATGTGAGGTGATGAGGACGTGCTGCTCATTCCATAGCAAGAATCAGTTTGGTCACAGCCTCTTCTGGCGGAAAGGATTTACAGCCTGTACAGCGCTGCATATAATATACACAAGGCTATGCAAGAACACTGTACTGTATATACAGCGAGATCCTCCATAGGGAGATCACGTCACATTTGAAGAATATAAAATGACATCCTACAGTAGATCTGCTGGCAGCTCTGCACTGAATCTCTGCACAAAAGTAGAGCCGAGTCTTCCGGCCAGAAAATTAATCACAAACTATTTTGATAACTAAGAGCTTAAGGAAAAGGCTTATGCAAAAACTGCAACAATTCAACTGTTGCAGCTTCTAAAATCTATTCTGTTTTTTTTTTTAGTTTTCTGTGATAGCAAACTGCATAGCTTTGCATTTGTGACTGCTGTTCAAACAAAATGTTTTTAGATGTCACCACGGCCTCGAGGAATTTATTAAGACCCAATGAGCTAATCAAAAACATAGTTTGCAGACTAATTATAATAAAAATAATCATTAGCAGTTGTATGCAAGCGTTTTGCAGAACATGATAGGAATAATAAACAGGGATCAACCAAAAACATGAAATAACTTGGTATCAGTTATTTCTGTAAGCAACACACACCAACTTTTCCAACTGGGTCTAAGGTGAGCTGATCTATACTGATGAATCTCAGTCTTAACAACAATATTGCATTTAAGCTGGCCAGGTAAACTAAGTGAGTAGTATTCCAGTGGAGCCCCACACTTTATCAGCACTAAGCTAAGAAAGTGACAGACTGTCAAAATTACACTGGGAACCTCTCCGGAGTTAAGCAGGGTTGAAGTGAAGGGATGAAGTGTTTACACAGAGGGAGGAAGATGAATTACTTGACTTTAGAGATAAATCTTCTCTTTGGCTCAATCATAAAAGTATAAACAAAACATTTTGAAGCAGAGATCAGAGTGTATGTCTGGAAAGCAGCTGGCTGGATGGACTGTGCTCTCTGTTAATGAATGACCAGAGGAACAGAAACACAAACACCATAAACTAGTGTGATTACTATGACACAGGCAGTATAGGAGCAGTCTGCTTACTCCATCTGACTGAGAGGTTATCTAGTTGTAAAACATGTCAGCTCTGTGCTGCAGTGACCTGGACTCCTGCTCTCACCAGGCTGCAGCTACTACAAAAATAATGCACTGGAGTGTTAGCGGTTATCACCAACCAACACTTTAATTCAGGGAAATCCCGATTGCCCGCACTGATCGCTCCTTGCTCGACCCGGTAGTCGTTCCAGTCTGCCATCTTGAAGGATGTGCAGAAGCTCTTACTCCTGCTCTGAGGAGCGAGGAGTCTGTCTGGAGAAGCTTTACTTAAAAGAAACCGACTTCTTCACACTTCCACAAACCACTCTATGTTAGTTTCTGCTTTAGTCAGACTCATTTTAAATAAAAGAAGGCCTCCGTATCTAGTGTAGAGTTATGGAAATTTAAAACTAAATCGATTCTTACAAGACATGGATGACCAAAATTTACAACACAGTCAAGAAAACACACAACTGAAGAAATTGTGATCTTTGAGGGCGAGTACACTGTGTTGTATGTGTGTGTGTGTGTGTGTGTGTGTGTTACTCTCACCATTATGCAGAGGGGGACCTCGACCCATCTGCTGGTTCATGCCAAAAGGGTCCTGAGGGTTTGGGCTCATAGCACTCGTATGGAGAGCAGAGTCTGAATTGGTTCTGTGTAGGAGGAGGGAGAGAGGAATTATGCAAAGTGTTCCAGCACCTTGGACAGAGGCAGAGGATTTGTCAGGGCCATAAGGTCAGTGAGTCACTCCACATCCTGCTCTGCCTCCACACAGGCTGCATTCACCTGCAGGCTCTCACTGACCTTTCACTTCAACACCCTCATAGGACTAATGTTTATCAGTCTGTGGTGAAAACACATTCTGGCTCAGAGAAGAAATAACCACCTTAAAGAACTGAATGTGAACACTATTTATATTGAAACAGGAAAATACAGGGAATCCGGTACTGCGGTATTTGACACTTCTCAACACTGCATCCTACAGTATATACACAGACTCACCAGATTACATTTAAGACCTATTTAATATAAAAGGAATTAAGATTAATACACGCTTCATGATCACACTGGCCAACAAAAACCAGCAGTGACAATATGACCTAGAAATAATTTTCAAGTGCCTTTACGTCACATTCCTGTCAGTACGTCCCAGTGTATATAGTAATAACAAATGCTATTATTAACAAATTAACCATGACCAGAATGGATGAAATCTTTTGCCAAAACCCAATAATCAAACTTTTTATAATAGCATTACTGCCTACAGCAAACAGCAAAAAAACCATTTATAAACTTTTGTACATTAAATTTAGACATTTTTAATAACCTCTTTGGGGTTTTTTTTTTTTTTTAACATTCTCTACCAATAATGACCATATAGAGTCCCAATAGAAGCAGTAACTTCATACACTTACATGTCCATCTTTCACTTCTGCCAGGCTCCTGAACACACATGGGCCAACTCATACAAACCAGTCTTGTATCACTCCAGCTGAGAGCTTTCTCTAGTGCTCTCCATTAAGCCTCAATGACTTAAATGTGGCATTCATACCTGCCTTCTAGTAGACTGTCGGTTTGATACATCCAGATTTGATGCTTTTAGAGCAGACAAGTTTGATCTTACTCTGGTAATTACAGCAGACGTAAAACACCACTCCAATAGTACCTCCAGATCAGATTTTAAAGCCTTTCGTCAAGGTTTTCTAACTCAAAGTGATCATTTTCAAAAACATGACTTTGCACATACAACACTTAGAGATGGATGTAAAAAGGCTGGAAGAGAGAAAATGTGAATAAGGAGCCTTGATGTTAGACTGAGAAGGAGCCATGAGTCCTAAAGCTGGGTTAGTAAGAGAAGGACTATTGATTGTTTTGCAAATACCAAACTGAAAAGATGAGTGGAAAACTAAAATGAGAAAAAGTAGTTAATAAATCAGCCATAACAGCAGAGACTTTGTGGCCCTCTAGCTCAGTGCTTCACAGGAAGAAAACAGAGGATTACTGAGACAAATCAGGCCAAGATTCACAAAAGATAGAAGCCAGGATGCTATGTGGCCAAGAGACACTGCAAAAAGACAAAGAACAGAATTGTTGGCCTGTGGTGAGGGATGAAGCTGTAAAGACAGACCGATGGAAAACAAGAAAGAGAGAGAGAGAGAGAGCGGGGATCAAGGATCACCTGTTAAGTTGAGATATTAATCTAAACCCAGGACGCTTTTCCTCAGTCCATGGCTGCTGTTCCCTTCAAAAACAGACAGAGGAAAAGCATGACAGACAAATTTACTGGATGAAAGCAGAGACCCCTGGCTCCTGCCTTAATGTTTAAGAAGAGGAGAAAATATCTTGGTGAAAGTTATAATCTATGTGTCGGCCTGTGTATGGGAAAAAAAAAAGACCTTGGAAAAAATACAGATACAGGACACCAGTTTTATAATTGAGGAAAATGAACAGAACAAGTGAAAAGCAGAGTCAAAACAGATGGGAAGGGGAAAAGACAAAGACAGGAGTGCAAACAAGCAGAGTGGCTGCAAGTCAGGTTCAGAGACCTGCAGCTGAGGAGCAGTTACTGCCCATATCTGTGGCAAAGAAAACTGGTGCAATGCAACCAGTCTTCTGGGCAATGGCTGTCTATAGACCATCAAAGCCTGAAACACTGAAGTGAGAACAGTGATTAGTGGCATTTTCTGAAGCATTCAGCACAAAAGGGGTCTTGGCCTTTCCTCAGACTGAAGTGCACAGAAACAATCTACAATATCAAGAAAAACTGATGGCAATGTTTGGAGTTTACTGGTTTTCTGCATAAATTGGTCATGAAATGTGATCAGATGTTCACCAAAGTCACAAACATCAACAAACCCAATATTTCTAAGATGGTAAAACACAAACAGTCCTGATCTTTCACGTCTTTACTGAACACACCCATTAAACACACAAAGTGATGAGGGACAGAGTCACAGCAACTGTTTTAATAACTGGTTGAACCACCTTTGGCAGCTACAACCTCCAGCCAGCACTTCCTGTAGCTGTGGATCAGACCTACACAACGTTCAGGAGGAGTTCTGGACCATTGTTCCTGACAGAGCTGCTTCAGCTCAGCCATATTCTTTGGACGTCTGGTATGAATGTCTTCAGGTCATTCCACAGCGTCTCCATTGGGTGGAGGTCTGGGCTCTGACCGGGCCGCTCCAAAAGGCGGATTCTGAAGTCATTCTGTAGTAGATTTACTCTGATGTTTAGGGTCGTTGTCCTGCTGCAACACCCAGCTTGTTCTGAGATCAGCTTGCCGACAGCAACCTTGACCTTATCCTGTAGGACACCTGGATGAACTAGGGAATTCATTTTCCCTCCATAGTGGCAAGCGGTCCATGTCCAGATGCAGCAAAGCAGCCCCACATCATAATGCTCCTCCACCGTACTTCACTGTTGGGATGATGTTTTCCTATTGCAGTGGCTGCCTCTGTGGCGTCCTGCCATGGATACTTCGACTGTTCAGTATTTTGCGTATGGTTAACTCATGAACAGAGACACTAACCAGCTCCAGTGAATCCGTCAAGTCTTTAGCTGTTACTCTAGGGGTCTTCTTTACCTCACACATCATTCTGTGTTGGGTCTTTGGACTGATCTTGGCTGGGGGCCCACTTCTCTGGATTAGCCACAGCACCAGATTGTCTCCATTTATAGACAGTATGTCTGACTGTGGGCTGATGAATATCTAAAGTCAGTGAGATGACTCTGTGACCCTTTCCAGCTACATACAAACCAACAACTCTTGATTATAGATCTGAGATGGCCTGGCTCACATCAGCTGATGCTGCTTGTGAACAGCACAATTACACTGTGTGAGTGTTTTTATAAGTCAAGGCGCTACACCACACCCATTTCTCGTTTCATTGGACTCCAGGTTTGCTAACACCTGACTCCAGCTGAGGTTTAGTGACATCAGAAGCCTGGTGTTGCCGTGACTCTGTCCACCATCACTTTGTGTGTTTAATGGGTGTGTTCAACATAGACATGAAAGATCAGGACTGTTTGTGTTTTATCAGCTTAGAAATATTGTGTTTGTGACTTTGGTGAAGATCTGATCCCATTTCATGACCAATTTATGCAGAAAACTGCAAATAGTGCCAAAACCTTTTCTTGCGACAAGAAGACTAGTCTTTTAACTAGCCATGTTCTTGGCATGCTTGCCTTCTTATTTTGTTTTTCAGCTTTAATTAAAGAAACATTTGTTGGTCTCTTGGTCCAAAAAGCTATCATACCACAGAGGTTTATTACAGCTTGAGGTCTTGTGTCATAATTTTGACCATCATCTGTTTTGTTTATGACAACACTGTAGCAGGGCAATTTCTGAGATCTAGGAATACAAAAACACACAAAATGAAGTTGGACAAAAGACACAAGAAACACAAGGTGTCTGATGATCAGACCAGTTGCAAAGATGCCAAGTTTGTCCAGATGCTCTAAACCACTTCATGTAAAAGGTAAAACTGAAGGTGACTGTGATTATTTCATTACCAGACGTCAGCAACTACCTTGGTGAGTACAATATTATTACTGACAGGAATTATAAACAACAGGGGCGAACTGACCTGCCTGGGGACCTGGGACAAATGTGAGCTTTGGGCCCATTTTGATATAACCTTCTTTTAAATGAAAATTTGGATTCATAAGTGATAAATCCCACAATTTCTAGAATCAGCTCATAATGGCTAATGTTAGCAAACTTCCCATTGATTCTGCTGTGTAACTGACAGTTCACTGACTCTTCTCTAAATTTGCTTTTCTTAATCAAAGTTTTACCATTTACCATTAATGACACTTGTGCTCACAGTAGCTTTTGATCGGTAAAAGTTAGGTTTTTTTTTGAAAAACTTGCAAACAATTTTGTGTAAGACATGCCCTAGTGTTAGACTAAAATTAGGACTATCAAGTCCAGTTTTATTGTCATTTCAGCCAAATATTACATACAGTGAAATGAAACAACATTCCTCCAGGACTAAGATGCTACATAAACTGCCTAAGTCAAATTATTGTTAAGGCCTTAAAAGTTCAACATCATATATCATTAAAATCTGTAGAGCTCCTGTTACACCACAGGGGGCATTTCCGAAATGGTGGCACACTTTCCTGCTTTGTGGCATTTGATGAGCAGTGTAAAAACAAAGCAGACAAACTGAAATACCTGTGTGACGGATCAACAGATTTAGCCACTATATTGTATGTACCTGCCACTGATGGGTGTAGTAGTCCATATTTATATTTAGATGCATGATGTAGGCTGTGGAATGCAGATGAGCTGCAGCACCCCACCCATCCAGTAATAAATATCCCTCTGACACAATGACGATGTTGTTACCGCCATGAGTTTGACAAGATAAACACTAAATCAACCTGACAAATTGACAACCAACTGGGCTAAACCAGCCTTATCTTATGCAAGAACAAGCTTTGTACAACTAATACAGATCAGCACCTTCTGTAAGCAGCAGCCTGGAGGGTCTGATTTGTAAGCGCATGAGCCTCAGATGTAACTTTGGGATGGAAGAAACGCAGGCTTTTTTTGTTTGTTTTTTTTTAAATGTAGCAACAGCGATCACATTACCTAGCTAAATGACAAAAGCCATCAACAACTGTCACATCTCCCAAAAGAGGCAGTGGAACAAAATTTCCTCTTGAAGGCCTTCCTGCAGTACAACCTCCAGGGAGCTTGGCCCGATATTTCATCCAGGGAGAGGCTGGTACAGGAATAGAAGGTCAAAGACGGGTGACCAATAGAGGAGGAGGGCGTGGGACAAGGCTCTGACCCTGAAGCAGATGGTCTCCAAAGGGACACATTCAGGGCTGATGCCTTATGGAACCCAGGAAGCAGTCCCATATAAGCACACATCTTCCAAGACACCAGTGTACAGTCATGTTCTTCGACATGCCTAATTTCCTAGCAACTCTAGAGGACAGACAGTGGATATCCAAAATCATGGGCCAGTGGAAAAGTTGGGAAATCACCACATTTTCTCCAAAGACCCCACCCCCCAAAAGATGTATTTTAAAAAGCCTCATCAGATCTTGATGGATAAAATCTGTTGGCCAGGCTACTAGTTATAGGTTATGTAAACCGCTCGGTCCCCCTGCATTTCTGTCAAGCCTGACAACCTTTAGCACTGAAGTCTTAATAATACAAAGGCTGGTAAGCATGACACTAGTGAGAAAACATGGGAGTTTTATTTATTTGCATCCAAACACTTTCATAAATGGTGCATTTCAAAATGTGCATGCTTACTGCACATCTCTCTGCTCTCTTGTTGTCCTGTCCCTTATGTTCCTCTATGCTCATCATCAGTGCTCGAGAGGCTGGGTGTACAACAGATAGCTGATCGCCGGTGTGCTACTTAAGGCACTGAAACGGTTAAAGAGCTCTGTGGCTCTTCTCCAGAGCTGACTGGCGGTAATATAGTGCAGATGTGGTTGGCGTTGTAAACACTTACCGCCCCACTCTCCCCTGAGACAGACAAGCAGATAATCAGCCTCTCACTGCAACAACACGAGAGCCTAAAACCATGTCCATGGGTGATAGTACCTGTGCCACCGAGCTGGTCTTTCAACAAAAGGAGAAAGCTTTTAAATATATACAGTGTATTAACAATAGTCACTTGTGGAATTTTCTTCAATGGGATTTCCCTGCAGGCTACTAAAAGAAGAGCCTCCCTCATCTGGCAAGACATCAGCCCAGACTGATTTCCTGTTTTCCCCTCCAACAGTTTGCAAAATCAGGCATATGTACTGTTCATTCATTGAGCCCACACACACAGCTTACAGGACACTCTTGTGAAATATTGCTATTGTAATGATGGTATTTCTGATATACTTTGTGAAGTTACCAGGTTACAATGGAAACATCCACTGAGGCAAAACTGCCATGACCTGCCTATCCTGATCACCACCCTGACAAGCAGTGCAAGTCTGGGTCTAGTTCTTAACTGATGGTTTGCAATTAAAATCTGATATTTATATACAGTAAGCCATGTTTGAACCCAGTGGTTTACTAGGAACACCTTGGAATTGTGCTATCAAACAAGCCAATACAAACTATATTTTGTATACTAAATTGCATTACATTAGGCATCTGTCAGTATATTTTTGGAAGTGGTGACAGTGCTGCTATATAGAGTATGATGGTATAGTCCCATTGTCCTAGATTTGGACAATGGTTTCACTTCAAATGGTCTAAAACCTATTAACCAGTACTGGCTGTTAAAAATATGTAATTCTTGCCTTATGCGTTTGCCTGAAAAGATAACACAAACATGTCTGCTGGATTTCTCTCAAGTTACACCTCAATTAGCAAGTTCTATCCAGTTACTTCTAAGTAACAGCCATCCTCACCTGGTATATCCATTAACCTCTTTCACATGCCCTTTAAAAACATACATGAATGATAAAACCCTCGTTCATTCATCCTGACAGGTCCTAACAACCAAAACTTCAGGAAGGTATATTAGCAGAAATACAGCAGGATACTATAAATAAGAAGTCAGGAGCGTCCTTGTCTTAGCTGAACCTTTAGGAAAGATGACATTTTGTGAGCTTGTCACACATAATCAACATCAAAAAGCAACCTAAAAGACAATTTAAGCCAAAAATTTTGTAAAATTTCCTGATGGTAAGTGGACGTCAGTTACATAGATCTGGGTTTTCTTCCAGCTTTTGAACTCTTGTTCAGACAACAGACCATAACACCACTACACAAAATGGAAGCCAAAATATCATGAATATTACAGTGGCCATCTTGCTTTTGTGATGCATTTTGCAACCACATTTTGTGTAGTAGTGGCCTGAAGTGGAGCCACGGTATCAGGCCACCAAAGCTGTCAGTCATCTGAAACATACCCATATTCATATCACCAAATCCTATTAATTTACTAAAAACAAAAATGATAAAAAAATGGTAGCTTGTACACAAAATGACATGATGGCATCTACGTAAAAAGACAGAAATCCTTTTAGAGAAAAAATATATTTGACTTCTAGTTTGGCTCATGCCCCATTTGCCAACATCGACTTGTGGAGGTTTCACTTTTGGGAGCTGTAACATCATCCACATTTATAAAGAGTGTATGGTTCAAAATCAGTCTAAACCAGCTCTACAGCACTAATATGTGAATCTCTGCCAGTGACAGTGAAGTGAGCCAAAATCCACTGCTGAGGGGGAAGTTTCTCTCTGTTACACACTGTGACAACAATCTGTTGCAGGTTGGAGCAGGAGGCCAAACTCGGCCTGCTGAGACTTGACGGCGCTGACGCCAGTCACATATAGAGGGCTATGGCAGGAACAGTGGAAGTAAAAAAAAAAAAAAACAATCAAGGGAGTGATGAGCATGAGCAGAATAAGGAGGAGAAAGTCTGCGCCATTTCAGAGTTGTATCATTTTTCATCATTCCCAAAGCAGGGCGATTTGTCATAAAACAGCCACAATCAAAAACTGACTGTATGCAGTTGTGTATGACCACAACCAGAAAACATAAACTGAAAATTTCTTTGTGGTCTATTTTACAGCATATAACAAGTATGTTTACACTACAGAAAGATCCATCCCATCTATTCAGAGGTTCACTTCATGCAGAATATGAGTAACAGGTCTAACAGCCAGGTCTGCATGTCCCATTGTGAAAACGTTTTATTAAATGAAGAAAGCCGGTCCTGTTTTTCAGACTCTAACTGAAATTTCAATGCTATGATGATCAATCTTTCATTGAGAAAAACTGTCTTAAACAGAGCAGTGAAAGTCCTCAGTCAGACACACCCACTCTGACAACACTGATGTCTCTTTGCTCTGTGAGGACATTTGTCAGCCAACCTGTTTTGTGCTGTCAGCAATGACGAGAGGGCGTGGACATTATTCATTTCTGCTGTACAAGCTGTTATAATGCACTCCACATGGAGCCTGGCCAATGTCTGGGCGCTATGAAGACAGGGTAACTGGCGGATGGCCAAAAACCAGCACGAACACAAAAAGCATGGAGACAGAGCAAGAGTGAAAGAGAATGAATGGGGAGGAGCTGGGCTGAGCTTTTGTTCTCAGGGCCTGAATTCATTCCTGTATAAACACTGAAGAGAAGATGCCTACCAGTGCACTGACAGTTCTGCACAGGCACAAGCAGAAGGGGAAAAGCATCTCACAGCACACACCAAGGCCAGCAGGCCTAGTACCATGTTGAATTTCTGCCAAGCTGGAGATTTGGAACCACAGACAACAAAATCCAAACACAGTAGGACTACTGCTGCTGGGCATTACCTTTAAAGTAAAAGCTACCTGTCAAACACCTGTAGTCAGATGCAGCCTTCCTAGGGCTGACACAGCATCCTGATACATGCAGCATTTCTACAGAAACAAAGGCCAACAAGCTCCAGTTGTCACCCTGCCTCACTGCTGCTCTGAACATACATTTGTGCGTTTGATTGAGAAAGCAGGTGCCTGGACAGAAAATACTAGGAGGCACAGGGAGGCTTGATACAGGAAATAGGCTGGAGAGGAGTTCCTGTTAGAAAATAATCTAGTTAAAGGAAGAGGAGAAACAATAATCAAAGGCACTACTCACCTTCTCCAGTTGTTGTCTGGAGGCGGCGACAGGTACACTGCTCCATATGGAGAGCTCTCTATGTGGGCTATAGTCAAGGAAAATAATGGCACAAATACAGACACTATGACAACCCTGTGATATTAAATTCACATAAAAAAAGATTCCATGTACACAGCTCCATGTTTTTGCTACAACCACACACTGCAACTTGAAATTCCTAAGTATAAAACTGGCCCCGGTTTATTTCTTCACTCTATTTTTAACAATGATGTATTCTATACTGTAGCACTAAGTAAAAATGTATGACACAAAAAAAAGAGGATGAGCTTCACATGCTCCAAAAAAAAAAAAAAAAAAAAAAAAAAAAAGGGAATGTATTTATATCACACACACATTCATCAAAGCCCTATTATGGTTGAAGAGAAGTGTCAACAACAAAGCTGCTTCTTTCAAATCCTCAATGAAACAATGACACCATTATTTGATTTATTACTGAATGCCGACAGAGTTCCTGGTATTGTCTGTAAAGGGCTGGACTTCAGAATGGTGGTGTTTCATGTGCCGGCGGACATGTTTGTAAGTTGAGTTCCTCTGCTCTGAAAACAGTCTCCTGCCTGGGTAGCTGTCTGGGGAGGTGGACTGCTTAACAACAACAAATTAAAGCTGAGATTAGGTGCCACACAAGGCCAATGCATCATATGCTTAGGCCTTGGACAAATTACCATCAGTAGTGACACAGATTAAAAGATTGAAGCTCAGCTATCATTCATAATCTCTCACACAAAACATGGGACAATCCATTTTCAAAAGTAGACAAATGGAATGTACGTTGAAAGGACATGATGGTGATTTCTCCAGAAGCAGAAGAAGACACGGAACAATTCTGCCAGACTTGTTGGCTGACTGTTTTTGTGCTCCAGACACCTTTCAACAAAATATTGTGCACCAGCATGCAGAAAAGTATGAATGGGCATCCATACCTGTACACTACATAAGCAGTTAGTGTAAGAGGGGACAATTTTGTACAAGAAAAGAGGCATTTGGCAGTTTATGATATCTACCAAAATAAAAACATTCTTTTGAAGCCACATGCATTATACTAATATTCTGCTAACAGCAGAAATTACAGGCAAACCATGACCCTTCGTGATGCGAAGACTAGAGCTCTCATTGTAGGCCTTGTTGTGTTTTGGGCATCTGTTTGCAGTATTATTTGTCAGTGCCTCTCGCTGCTTTGGCTGAATTATGAACTGCGTCAGGAGAGTTAAGATATCATGACACACTGCAGAGGTAGAAAAATGATAAAAATGGCCACACACTGAAAGCTTACATGATGTATTTAGAACATGTAGCCAATGCTTTTGTCTTCCTCAGGGCAAGTAAGCTGCAGGGGTAGGACAGTCAAGGGCAGACAAATTACATCAAATGGCCTGTTGCGCTTACTGATACAGCGCACATTGTTGGATTCAAACACGTCAAT